TAGGGGTAGATTCGGTGCGGTGGCAGACCTGTTTTCAGCCAGTTCTTGAATCGAGCAAGCGGCGAGACTGCATCCTATCGTTCGTACCAGTCGTTTTCCACCAATCGCTGTCGCCTACCCGTTTAAGATTCCGTTCGGACTTCGCGACGGCAGCGCTTCGGTAGCGCACTCGACGCGATCGATGCAGTCGAAAGCATGCGCATCGATCGCGTTGTACGCGCTACTGAAGCGCTGGGTTACGGGGCTGTTGTCAACCAGACGTGCTCTCGCTGCGAGGGTCCAGGGGTATTTTCACGAGGCATCTACCAGTCCAGTAGTTGGAGGGAGAAGGTAAAGGAGGAGGGATCAGAGAAGGAAGGAAGGAAAAGAAGGAAGGAGGAAGAAAAAATGAAAGAGAGGAGAGGCTTCCCGGTTGACAAGTGCCCTGAGACGGAAGCGCTGCCGTCGCGAAGTCTGAACGCTGCCTAAGCAACTGGTGGAGAACGGGCGGGTTGCGGCACAGTCCCACTGACGCGACCCCATCGCCCGCAGCGAACAAGGCTGTACTTTTTTCTTTAACACGTTCGAGGCGGCGTGTACTGCCGTGAGTACACGACCCCTGTTTCCAAACATTCCTACAGTTCTGCGAAAACACGCGCATATTTTTTTTGTTCTTTTTGCGACTGATTATATTCTACTAGCATACATTTACACAATTAACACATCAGTACGAAGAAAAAATTGTAAAAATAAGCCAAAAACAACAACGAACGTGAGTTCTGGGCGAAATGCCCTTCGCCTCGAATGTGTTAAAACTTGTTGATAATATTCTGCAGCTCATGACGTCATTGTTGTAGTCGATAGCCATGGTCATGTTACTTTGACCAGTTGTTAGCCCTTTTCTTTTGACACTAACCAAGGCTCGCACTTCAAGTTCTCCTTTGCGTGAGCAAGTGCATTGGAAGTTATAGTTTCGCGAATTCAGATATGAGTGGGGATGGCCCCGTTCAACAGCAATATTCAAGTAGTGTAGGGGTAGACGAGAACGGAGATGTGGTTTACCATCATGAAGGCGGCGTACGAGTCTTTGGACAAGAGCCACATCTCATCAGAATGGACGATGGGCGAATCGTTGAGATGATTGGACACGAACAAGAGCAAGAAATGCAATATGACGTGGTTAGTTCTGCTTATCACTTTTTTTGTTTGTGGCGCTAGACCGATAACGGGGAGCAATAACTGGCATTTTGGTGCAGGACGCCCATTCCTTTAATGCATGTCGTTTGGCGCGGCCGGATTGCTATTGGGGCGCATCGGCAGTAATTGACACCCTCAGTCAGGTGTACAGTATCAGTGTACAGGAGCAACTCGTCCACGTTTATTAATAACTTGATCGCTACTTGATCGACCTACGCTGGCACTGCGCCAACATAGACGACCGATTGCGTGCGAATCTCCTACTTAACCATTTTCGTCGGTTTTTGAGCAATTTTTGCCCTCTTTGCCCGACATTTCTTGATGCTGGGTAGCTACTTAGAAGTGGTTATATCGAGAGTACTTTTGAGCTCTGATCTATCCTACTTCAAAACAGCTTCCAGTTTTTATGAGTGCTCCTCTGCACGGTAAGTCCAGTTCACTTTACTCAGAGGAGTTTATCAGAAAATTTGTTA